TGGAAGAGGTAGCAATTGAATCGACATTTAGTGCCTTACCCACAAGACCATCCTTCCTCAACACTTGTTTACAGTTTTGAGCTATCTGTGTTGTGAAACATCTGGAGTCAGTTATTAGTTTGCAGACTGAAAAACCCTTCAGTGAAGAAAGCAAAGGTTTTAATAAAAACTAAATATTATAAACATCTGATACATTAAATAGATATTCTTTTAATAGATGAGAAAGTGGTGAAAGCATCTTCACGTGAGATGTTGAAACTAGCTTGGGCAAAACATTAGTGGAGATAGCAATCCTGTATTCAGCGAAGGGATGGAATGGATAATCTAATTGATCTTTTCCAACTTTAACGTCTCTGATTCTATGTGGTTTTGCCTTGAATATTTTATTCATAATCTGCAATATGTTTTGCCTACAAAAATTGCTATTCCAAAATGTAAAAACTCTAATCTGTGAATGCCCATCAGATAGTTAAATGGCTATCTGATTTGTGTGCACAGAAATCTAAGACTTTCATGTGCAAAGGCTTGTGTGTTTTAGAGGTTTTGTTTGGCAGTATTTAATATGTAGAGTTCAGTGAAAAGACTAACTAAGACCTGAATTATTTGATGCACGTATGTTAGCACCAGCACTAGAAACGTTTTTTCTATAAGCTAGACAATGCCTTTGGGGGGAAAACCCTTTGGTTTGTTCTCACACTTTCTTTATGCCCTGGGGATAGAAAGTGAAAAGAGCCCCAGTGAATTTTCTCAGAGTACAATACATATTGTGACAATGAAGAACAAAGCAACTACAGTACACGCCTGCTGTAACGAACCCCTCAGGATCCAAGCCATTTGTTCGTTATAGCCAGGGGTTTATTATAGCAAGAGAGCCACCATGGGGGATGGGGGACAGCTCCTCCAGCTCCGTAGCTGTGGTGGGGGCTCAGGGCTTTGCCAGCCCCCGCTGCAGCCGCAGGGCTGGAGGTGGAATCCAGGGACCAGGTTCATTACATCCGAAGATTCATTATTATGAAGGGCATTATAGCGAGCGTGTACTGTAGTAGATGTGCAATATTTTTATTACAAAATCTGGATACCTTCATTGTTTTTAATTCTTTCAGCTTTTACAAATTGGTAAAATTTCAAAAATTGCTATATTTTCCACACAAACATCAATATTTTTGAATTCTAAACTATTTTTTTCTCCAAACAGATCATTTTTCATATTGAACTCAGAAATTTGGGAATGTCAGTTTGATACCATTTCATGGAAAGCAAAATATTCAGGCTGTAAAATAGTTTGAAATGAAGTGCATGCATGTGTAATTTTGTGACAGATAGTCACTATTTTGTAAAACCTTATGTGGCTGGGAAGAGTCCCTCACACTATAGACACACACTGTGATAGTGTAGAGAACTTACCTCTTGCCTGAGGTTTCCTTTTTTCATAGATTCATAGATTCTAGGACTGGAAGGGACCTCGAGAGGTCATCGAGTCCAGTCCCCTGCCCGCATGGCAGGACCAAATACTGTCTAGTTAACTTTATAGTTAACTTGAATGACAAAACTTCTTCCTAAGCATGGCTTATTTCTAGGCTTTTTCCCTGCATCCCTGGCTTTTTCCTTCTTCCTCCTTAAAGGAGATACAATCCCTCTCATACCTGGGACTGCAGCTAATGTGTCCTGCCTGGTATGGCTTCCAACATAAGTCAATAGAATAGTCCTGCCGATCTCTTTCTTCAGAGTCCTAAAACCTGACAACCTGTAACACACTGTAATAAATGATGGGAGTACCTCACAGGGAACACATATGTGCCATAATAGTGAGAGCCAAGTATTTTTAAAAAGTAACCAGGACATCAGCAAGTATTTTTTAAAGTTAAGGAACAACACAAACATTATTGCCTCTAATCTTTTGCAAAGGTCAAACACTGCATTACAATGTTATATAAGTAAAAGGGTTTCATAAACAATGAAAGCACTCTTTGTTTCTGAAACTAGACCATCTGCTCTTCTTCCTTAGGCGGCTGCTGGCGTAAAGGATGTAGATTGGATGGCTGTTGCTTGACAACTAAAGGAAAAAAATGGTTTAGTAAACATAACCAGGAAACAAGATAGGAAAGATGGAAAAATTATTTGTTGAGAGAGGACACTGATTCTAGGTGCCCATATACCTTAAACAAAGGCATAACAAATATCATAGTTTAAATAAATCTGCTTTTCTATGTAATAATTGCCACCTAGCAGCAACCAGAGGAATTGCACCTGGGAGAAGCCTGCAAATTTTGGAGGTACAGCGATGAAGGTCCTGCAAATCACCTTTGTGATAACGAAGGATGTCCCATCAGACAATATTGTGGGCAAAAGGGGGTGATTATAAAAGGAAACATTAGCAGCCATTCCTGGTTAAAAGTTCCAATCTTTCATCACCATAGAACCAGGTTTGTGTAGTTCTCTCCTAGGGAGAGTCCCTGCTTTGGAGAGAGAAACTCACTGGGAAGCCAGCAGGCAGCATTGGTCTCAGGAAGTGTGATATGAAGGAATAGGTCATATTTTTAGCACAGAAAATATTGAACATATAAAGTAGACATACTAGTCCTAATCCATAACTCTTAAGAGATACACCTATCAGCAGGACTTAAATTCTCATATAGAATTTCCTGGAGTCCACCACACAGCCTCCTCCCCATTCGGGGCTCTGGACTTCAGCTGCAGGGCGGGTGGGGCTCAGTGCTTCAGCCCTGCAGGGTGTGCCGGGGCTTGGGGGCTTCAGTCCTACAGGGCACACTGGGGTTCGGGGTGTCTACCCTGCAGGAGGTGCCTGAAAATGTTTACCGGAGGTCTGCTCTGGACAGCTCCGGCTGAATTTAAGCCCTGCCTATCATGTTAAAAGCCTGCACGGAAAGAAGGCCATGAGAAAGCCTTGGCATGACAAACAAGTAATATTTCAATTCATCAATAATTTCTCATAAAAAACATCCAAGATAATTTTTTATAGTAAAGATGGACACTGTGCATCCATCCATGGAGAGGTATAATAAATCACATTTTTAGCTTATGAGTAGAGGGCTTGGTGCAGCTGCAGGGGAGCAAACAGAGACCTGAACTGGCATCTCTAAAGGATCATAATGGTGAGGGTATGGAGGCTTTTGAGAGGGAGGTGATGAGTTCAAAGATCCATGCTGTTCCTGTGAAACTCACCCCAGGCCCTGTAAGGGCATAGGTGCTAAGATATTCCCCGCTACCTTCAATATTGTGCAAGAGCAACAATAGTGCTGTTGCACAACAAGAGTGTTGCCAACTCTTGTAATTTTGTCTTGTCTCATATATTATATCATTTTTTTTTAATTAAAGGTCCAGCTCCTGGAGTAAAGTGATTATGTGAGAATCTCAGTTTCCATTTTTTAAAAAGTAGGTGTTTACCTCTGATGGTGACAGAGAAAAATCTGAAAACATGACCCGAGTGTACCTAATGGCTCCGAAACCATAAGGCAATTAAAAATAAAATAAAAAACCTTACTAGATCTTAATGATTTTTAAATGTTTGGGAGTGGGGTGGGAATTCTGCAGTGGGAACCTGTTAAATATGAGTATGGAAAGTAAGCACTCGACATGGGAAATAAGAATAAATTCAGTCCAGAGACTGTTATTGTACAAGCCTGTATCACCCTCTTCTGTTTCAGTAGATATGAATAGTGCTGCAGAACTGCATATTAATTCTTGTATGCACACATACATAGCAGCAGCATGACTGTTTGCATAATATGTTCTCTGCACAAATTGTTTGGTTATTACAAAATATTTATGAATTTCACAGTTGCCAGTGACTTTTACTAAAGTCTCACACAGGCCCCATGTAAAGTGGGGGAAATGGATACACTTTCCCAGACCGTAGTCCGGGGTGGGCAAACTATGGCCCATGGGCCATGTTCGGCCCATCAGAATTTTTAATCTGGTCGTCAAGATCCTACTGGGGAGCAGGGTCGGGAGCTTTCTGTGCAGCTCCTGGAAGCAGCGGCATGTCCCCCTCCGCCTCCTATGCATAGGGCCAGCCAGGGGTTCCACATGCTCCCCTGCCCCCCGCAGCTCCCATTGGCTGGGAACCATGGCCAATGGGAGCTGCAGGGGTGGCGCCTGCGGGTGGGGCAGTGCGCAGAGCTGCTTGGCTGGCGCCGTGTATCACCCCAGAAGATAACTCTGAGCCTTTATTCAGAAGGAATGTGTTCTATGAAATTCTGGACAATGTCATCTGTGAGTTGAAGCGCTGCTACAAAGCAACTGATGACATTAGTTTTATGTTCCTTTTGGTTCTAAGGTATGTCACACTGGAGCCTGAGGAACTGAAAGCAGCATCCAAATGTCTACTTCTCCTATGGACCTTAGAGAGAACTTTCCATCGGAAATGGTGCATCTGAAAAAAATCTTCAGCTCTGCTTTTGGCAAAGAACATGAACTGCCACCATTTAGAACAAAAAACTGCACGTCATTTTCAGTGACGCATACATAGCCTAGGAATTGTTTCACCCATTGCCAGTGTCTGGGTGAGAAGCTAAAAGAAGTTTCAGGGAGCTGGCCCGCATCAGAGTGCGGCTCGCTGCTGCGGCCCAGGAACGCTTACGTCCCCTGGCTGGTTTGTGGTTTGACCTGGCAAGACAAACGGATGGCAGCGAGGTCACTGGCGATTTTGCAATGAAAAGGGCTAGACGGGTGACGCGGCCTCTCACTGCCACTTCACAAACCCACCACGGGGCAGTGACTGTGACTGTGCAGGGGGGGGGGCAGTCACGGGTCTGCCCTGGGCCAGGGACACAGCACCTGCCCTTAGGGGGGAGAGCAGCGGGCTTCTGTCCCCTCCTCCTTCCAGAAGCCGGCCCGCAGCTCAGGCGGGCTTTGCTGGCGTCTCTCCCCGCCCAGTCCGGGCAGGGGCCCCCAGCTAAGCACTACGCACGCGCTGTCCGCTTAGGCAGCAGCGTGTTCCGGCTCCACAGGGCCCCTGCTGGAGCCTCTCTCGGGGCAGGGGAGGGGAGGAGGCACAGCCGCATCCGCCCTTCGATCGATGAATCTGGAGCGGCTGCTCTTCTCTGGGGAGAGGGCGGAAGTTCTAGTCTCTCAGCCTAGACTTATCGCTCGCTGAGCTGCTCGCCGGTCAGAAGCTCGCGCCGGAGTTGGGGGAAGGAAGATGGTGAGGAAGGGGTCGCTAGGGCGGGCTGGGCCCAGGGAACGGGCTTCTGTTGGGCCCTGGGCCGCTGCCGCGCTGCTGAGCCCGGGCCGAACCGGTGGCGGGATGTGGGAGGGGCCGTGAGTCAGCGCTTCCCATGTGCGGCCGGGCCAGGCCAGGCCGGGGGATGTCCGCGCGCAGCTCCGGCAACCGGCGGGGACAGGCTGGCCTGGCTTCGGCCGTAGCGTGTCCTGGGGCTTCCTCCGCTTTCCCCGAAACCCGCCCCCGCTCTTCACAGAGCGATCTCCCTCCGTTCAGAGACCGACCTGCCCCACCAGAGAGCATTCCCTTCCCTTCCCTTCGGAGACCATCCCCCAGAGCGACTGACCCCCCGAGCAACCCCCTTCTCTACAGCGTCTGACCTCCCTACTTCACATAGATCGTCTGTCCACAGCAACCCCATCTCCATTCAGAGACAGACCAACCCCCCCCCCGCCCAGCGTAACCCCCTTCTCTCCACACACAGGCCTACCCCCAGTCCCCTATATATAACCCTCCCATGTTCTCAGCCCACACAAGCCAAACCTGTATATAGGTTTCCCCATCTGATTCCATTCCATATGAGCCAAGTTTTATTATAGTAGCTTTTAATTTCTAATTTCAAAAAGAAGAGTGGAATAACAGATAACATAAAATCAATCCCTGTATACTTTAGATATGCTTTAATATGCAATAAGAGAATATTTTACAAGTCACTGTATATAAACATAAAAATAGGCCCAGATACTTGCACTTGTGAGTAATGTTATGTACCTGACTAGTGGTGTGAGTTATCATGTAAATCCAAGAGTTTATTATGCTTTATACCATGTCAATGGTAGCTTTTTGGTGCCCTTTCAGGTCAATCCCCATGGTAGCTATGTACAAGATGCCATTATAAGGAAATTACATACTTGTAGTTGTTGTATAATTTTCTTACAATTGTTTCAAATGCAAACAAACTCTTTATTTCAGTGCATTTTGAAATCATTAGTTAACTAACTTCCTGTGAGGAAAAACAAACACTTATTTTTCAGTAGAACAAAAATCAGAGAACAGAAAATGAAACAATTGCAGGACTGGAGTTTTGAGCCATGAATAATTCAGCAAGGTACCTAAGCATGTGCTTAACTCAGCATGTGAGTAGCTCCATTACTTACTTAAAGTTACAAATGCTTAAATACCTTGCTGAACTGGGGCTTTAGTTTAGGAACAATGAACTGTTGGGTTAATGGGTCCATCTGCCTGCATTGCACAGTAATCCTTTGATTTTGCTGAGACTATCCACAGGCACAGGATTCTGTGTGTAGGGTGCTTATTGCAGGAAAGGGGCCTAAGTCTACAGAGGACCTACAAAGTTCATAGCACAATAAATTTATAGAGTATAGATAAGACCTTGATGTCAAGATAAAGGTGAAGCCCTTCCTCCTTTAGATTTGTAGAAAAGTATTTTTTGTTACCTCACATCTCCCTGTTCCTTGCCACCTGTCTGTAGCTAGGGTGAGTGAGGACTCCACTTACCTTCCTCAGCCTCCTGTTGCTGCCCTAAGGTTGTGTCTGCTACTTCAACCTCTGCAACTTTCTGGTGGATGGGAGGTGAAGGGGGACATCTTTTTACTCAACTCTACCCCAGACTCTGTGTAAATATTTCTTCTCTCCACAGTTAGGCCCTGGAGCTATTATCCTGGGTACTACTTTTTCAAGCAACAGCAGAATGAAATTGACCTGATTCTTGTCAGGTTTACAGTTGTCCACTGTGTAATGAATACTAGCAGTGAAAACTAGACAATTTTCTTTTTGCTGCAGCTTGGCATTCCTCACCAGTAACATGGCTCCTAAGAGAGCTTTGTTGTCATTGATTGGCTGTCCATGCTTGAACACTCTGGCTTCCCACCCAAAAAATCTGTAGACAATCTGGAATTGGTGTTAGTTAATGCAGACAGGATTATCATTAACCCATGCAGGAAATTAATAGGAATTTCTACATGTTTATCTTGGGATTATAGTGCAGTGAAGCTTTCCACTGCCCCCAAACTAGCTATATCCAGATACCCAGTTACAATTGCTGCTGTTTGCTGCTCAGATACAGACACATCAATGTGTTAAGAGGCTGGTGATGCCTTTTGGGTTAAATATCTTTAAAAAGCAATTGTCTTCTAATTTCTTGTTGCCAAGGTACTGTAGAGAGGATATATGGTCATAATGCAAGTTAAATGTATACTATGTGTCTTGTGTGGAAAATGTTTTGAGATGTCATTTTGTGTTAAAGTAATTCAGAGCACAGTAAGTATTATGCTGATACAGTAATGTTGTATTTACTAAATAATGGTAAATGTGCAGAAAAATATATTGTGGTTGAGCTCTTGTTTTAGACTGGAGAAATTGTGTATGTTGTATTAAGCAAAGAAAATTAATATAATTGAAAGCTCAAAGACTTTCTTTTCCCAGCTGCATATTCTTTTCATACTAATGAGTTGGTTTTGTTCACAGTTTCGCAACCAGTATGACAATGATGTCACTGTCTGGAGCCCTCAGGTAAAAGAATATAATTGTGTTACTTGCTTTCCATTTTTCCTTTTCCCTTTTTTCACTATTATGGTAGTAGCATGAAGGCAGTGGATGTCCTATTCTGGTAGCTCAAGGAGTATGATGCTGCTAATGCTGCTCCATAAAGCAACCTTTGAATGTTTTAAAGCATAGTATGAATAATGCTATGTGCATAACACACCAGGGAACTGTTAAATATGCAGTTTTGAGGATGAATTTTGTGATTTTGGTTTTTATAGTTGAACTTTACAATAATTTCATTAACCAGTGTTTTTCTTGTGTACAGAAGATATATAACTATATACTAGATATGTTCTGCAGGAGTGTGTTTAGTTCTTTTTAAACTCTAATGTTGGAGTATTGCTGAGAGGCAGTCATCCAACACTTCAGATTGCTTTTGTAATGTGAACTGTACAAACATTAAATTATATAATAGGTGTACACAAGCAACGTTATCAACTAATATCAGGGTGGATTTGATTTAAATCACTAGTCAGGAAGGCTCGATTTAATCACGGATTTCTGCATAAAAGTGCATTCTGGAATATGCTGCTCAAACAGTTTCACTTTTGTTTCTACTGCCTGTCCCTCCCTTCTCACATTTATCTCCAGACTTCTTCTCCTTGTTCAGATCCATTCTGCCCCCAACAATCTTCTATTCATTGAACTTTTTGAAACTTTGCAAGTTTAGAGAGAGGTAAGAGATTGACGCTGTGTACACAAATCTGCAGAGGGACAATAGGATTGAGGTCTGTTATTTCTTACCTCTCTATATCTTTTTAAATTTATTTTAAAACATTTTTGCTATTAACAAGCATGTTATCTCTGGAGACACAAATCCAGTTTGAGAACTGTAAAACTAAGCATCTCTGATGGTATCTTCTAGACTTTGTACTGAATCCCATTGGGTAGATAGATTATTTAGGTTAATCTTTATATACAGAAGCCCCTGGAACCCCCATATGATTAGGTCCCTAATCCATGAACTATTGGAATTTATTTACAAAACTTTTCTTATATTGTCTCATACTATAGAATTAGAATGTATAATCCCTATTCCATGAGATATCTTTGAGTTATAATAAGAACAGGAGTACTTGTGGCACCTTAGAGACTAACAAATTTATTAGAGCATAAGCTTTCGTGGACTACAGCCCACTTCTTTGGATGCATATAGAGTGGAATAAATATTGAGGATATATATACACACATACAGAGAGCATAAACAGGTGGGAGTTGTCTTACCAACTCTGAGAGGCCTCTGTTTATGCTCTCTGTATGTGTGTATATATATCTCCTCAATATTTATTCCACTCTATATTCATCCAAAGAAGTGGGCTGTAGTCCACGAAAGCTTATGCTCTA